TTAGTAGATTAGCCAGCATGATACAGGCGGCGACAACCAGCTGTAGATGGTGGTGATGGAAAACAGATGAGGAGCGTAAGGGTCGGCTGGTCTTATTTCCACAACAAGGCAAAGTGGGGCGTGTTGGGCCTAGCCCAATGCGTGTCGGCCGATTACCAAGCGTCACGAGGTCCAAAATCCACCAACTTTTCAACAAGTGCTGGTAGACTGAGGCCATGTTATCCTCCGCCGGGCATAGCTACGCGACAAAAGAAGTGGCTGAAACCGTGTAGGGTTAATCAATCAATCAATCAAATAATCAAGCAATACAACAGCTGATGAAAGGCTGTGAGCTATCCATGCAAGGCGCAGCCCTACTAGCTGCTGAGAATGAGAGATTGAGAGCTGCCATTGAGCGACAGAAAAACAAGAAGCTATTAAAAAGACGACATATAAGCAAGGCAACTAGCTTAACTGTTGCTCACGCCTCTCAGTTGATTCAATAGTCTCCTAGTACTGAAAATAGCGATATGGCAGCAGTGGTTAAGGGAGCTCAGGAATCACGTGAAGCGCCAAATGCAGCTGGAACACCACAAATTATATGCTATATTTGTTATGGATATGATCATCTAGCCTGAGAATATATAAAATATAGGATATTTCATTAAAATATTATTTTATAATTATATCATATACATTCAAAGTTTTGATAGCTGGTGTGCTGCGCGGCTTGGTGGTGTGCGCGACTTGGTGGTGAAATACGTTATGCAAGGTTATCCAATCGAATGCCTCTTGCTAATCGGGGCGGCAAGTTCACTAAGAACTCGTCGTTTCAAGTTTTGCTGGGAAGTGAGAAATAGATATTCCCAAATTTGGATCACAGTTTTCGGGGTTCATAGCCTCGCTTAGTGCCTTCCTGTATGGTTGGTCAGGGCGCCCTGATTGCGCTGCAGATACAGTACGATCCACAGCCTCAAAACGCAGGTGCCCAACCTTAACCTCCACATTCTTCGTGCTATTCTCCGATTGGCCAATTACTTCATTACCCTTGTTTTGTTAGCCTCCTACCCATGATATACCTAGTCACATGAAAAATCGGATCGAAGCCGTTCCGCTGACAGTGCAGGATCAATATCAACATGGGAAAGTATATTCATCGGTGGCCTCACTTGAAGCCTCTCATAAGCAAGCTTCGTCGGATGGCAGAAGATCCGGCCGGGCAATGACCTTGCCGAAGGCCAAAATCGGGATACGGAGGCACTGCATCTTCAAATCCTCCTCACTCAGAATACGGAGAGATTTGTCCCTAGACATCGCAACAATACGCCCACCTTATTATAATTATAAAGCTTTGGTTTGAGAACGTTCTTAAAATTGACTATCGACAAGGTTCCAATTACAAGCCGTTTACATCCTAACCCGTAAGGGACTTGCCAATGATAGCACTCCTCCTGGAGGAGAAGTAGGATAGCAACATTGAATACGAGAAACGGAAGCATTCCAGGCAGTTTGAAGTAAATATGCGATGTACTTTCACCTGTAAAGACTGAATGCCGTTCGAGGGGCGGGCGAATTGGCGAAAGAGCCATTGGCTATGTTAAAGCCAACAGTCCAGTTTGATTGAGGGGTGAAGCTGTTCGATAAGCTATTGTTCTGGCTTGGCATGGCTGGGACTACCGTTGCCAGGGTGCTGTGCAGACGGTCCTCTTCTGTAGTACTTACTATAATGTTTGAGGTATAGGTGGCACTAGACTCCATACCGAACGGCGTCATGGAAGAGCCAGCCTGTATGAGCAGTACAGTCACTGTTCCGATAAAACTGTCAACCTGAATTTTTATGATAGCTTTGATGGTACTGGAGCTGTTCATAAACCAAGTTAGGTCTGGGCAAGCCTCCAGCGCTGTCATGCTCGTCGAAACAGTCTGCCTCTAGCTTGACACCGAACTCTGTCCCGCTACAGTTCCAAATACAGTTAGCGCAGAAGCTGGGCTGACCATGGTAGTCTTTTCTGTCGTTCTGATGTTCGAATTATTTTCCGTTGAAGCAGTCAAAGATGATTGGAAACTGCTATCGGTTGAGAGTTGCTTTGGGTGGATTGTCGGTACAACCTACTTCCCCAGGTAGCAGGCTCAAACCAAGGGCGAAAAGAAATGGCATCCTCATATTCATTATAAAATTGTAACGGATATCATACGGGTATTTAGACGAGTGATGTAGGTGTATATCTTGAGGAGGGCCTGGAATCGGTCTCACTGAAAGGGTCCAGAATCAGGCACCACCAGCTCACGATCGACACTGTAAAATCGAGTATAGAACTGCTTCTTCGTTATGCAAATCAAAGTTATTCAGATTTAGATTACCAGAGAGAGCTTCCAGACTCAGATCCCCCAGCCCCGATCGAGGCTGTTTCTTTTGATTTGCTGACTATGTGCTTGAGATAATAGAGAAGCTTACAATCAAAAATAATATAATACAGATGGCCATTATATAATACCAAAAGCTTTCGTATTCAACTCTTGAATTACTTAAATACGCACTTGAGGCCTTACAGTTGTTATAGAGATTATTTAATAAATATATTAATAAAGACATTGCGGCTGAAGAAGAGTGGTTGAAGTTTTGGGGCATTAGAAAAGAGAATCAGAGTCAGCCATATAGTCCTGCAGGTTGAATATAAACAATTGGATTCTTAAACTGAAAATATATAGACTACACATTATAAAAGTTGATGTGTCAAAGAAGAAGAAGAAGAAGTGATCTAAATGTTCATCTTGAAGCCCTAGCGATGAAAGCCTCTTCTCCCCTTAGCTCATTTGCGGTGTCCCTGGATGCTTCTGATCTAAATGCAGGATGACCCGTTGGAGCCACCAGTGGTTTCTCAATAAATGGGTATTTGTAAAAGATCCGTTGTACAGACTTGTTCTGCTGAAGTGATGGTGTTGAGGAGAGAGGTCTGACAAGATCACTCTGGATGCGGGGCGTTGCTGGCTCAAATTCCATTGCCACAGGGACCGTCTGTTCCTCATCGTCGCGTTCAGTTAAGGACATGGAATCTTCTGGATCCTTCTGGGCATTTCCCTGTTTTGCTCGCCTTATAACAAAGACCATAGCAACTGTGAGTACTATTGCCAGTAAGATACCAATGACTATACCGGCAATGGCACTGCCTGATACCTTCTGGCTCTCCAGGTTCTTAGATACGGAAGATGTTGAACTTGGTTGCGAGCCTGGACTAGTACCTTCTGCTGGCCATGACTGGCCTGGAAGGAGCTGGTATTCTGCACTTATTGCTGCAGATTTCTGTGTATCAATAGATTGGCCTTCAGCAGGATTAATTACCCCAACCATTCCGTTCGGATGGCATGAATCAAGAGCTGAACAATAGAACCATATAGGGAAGTTGTCTCCAATGGTTATATTGAAAGATGGAGCCTATCATGCTATTAGTAATCCTTAGCAAGCAGGAATGGAATGGTAGGGAAGAATACATCTCCACTTGAAGCTGTTTGTGTAAGGAAATTTTGGGAGTGAAACCCTGTTTGACCCGGGTGGATTAATTCGTATGGTACGCAGGGGTTGCAT